TTTTTTTTTTTTTTTTTTTTTTGATTTAGTTAGTCACGAATCGGGTTTCTGGGAATTCTGAGAAATTGTTTTTAATATGTTGCCATTTGATTTAATATATGGCCAGTGTGGAAAATCATTTGCTATTCGCCATAAATGAGACAGCAACTCAGCAGACAGCGAGAGTTGCCAGAGACTGGAGACTGGAGGCGCGATCTGAAGCATTTATAGGGCGTGATGTGATTTGAGATTTCAGATTTGGAAAATTGTTTTTCGCTCGTTCGCATTTTCATTTTATGTCGCCGCCAACACACAGAAATTAGGTTTCGTTTCGATCTTTTTTTCTTGCCATTTTACCCAGCTATGAAAATATTTCGATTTTCAGACAAATTAATGGTCGATCGAAGAAATGTTCAGGTTTTTCTTAGATTCTTTTCATTTCATTTCTTTTTGAAAGTATGTGTAAAATGCATTGAGGGGGCTATGAATTTACGGCTTGATAGGGAAATCGTGTTTACAGTTGTTCGGCAAGTTAAAGATACTGTGAATTACGAGCTGTTCAAAAATTGCTGTAACTGTAAATGAAATTACTAGTAATAAAATGGGCGTGTATTATAGATGTGTATATATAACATATTCTATTCTATATTGTGATTTTCTCGATCTTCACCTATTGCTATACTAATATTATCTTGTTCCCTGCGGATAATCTGATTATGATTATTAAATCAATAAATGAAGAATAAAATTCGTGTTACATTTATGCGTTTTGTCTAAGAAGGAAAAGAAGAATTTATGCGAATAACAACACAATAAAACAAAGTATATCTCAATTAGTCAATTAGCTAATAGATCAATCATATAATGACGTGCTATAAGCATACTCACACTCACACACACGCACACATTTGCGTCACATCCACTCACAAGACGATGGCCCACAATCTGAACAAAATTGAGCCCATTAACCCGGCACAGCATGGAGACATCTGTATATAACATCTATATAGATCGGCTATTGAGTGAGATTTTTAGTACTACTACTCTAATTTTTTCAACTTGAATTTCTATTTCCGTTCCAGAATTGATTGGCTCGAGGCCAGGGGCCAACAAATCCCGGTCTCTTGAAAAGAACATAGGGAAAACAAAAGCTCACGAAACTAATTATAAATCATTAAGAGCCATCAGCCAGCGGCTAGCGGTCAGCCGCCTGCGTGTGCTCATAAATCAAACTTTCACTTTTATTTCGAACCAAGGAGCCGCACGCCCCCGCCGCCCACCTCTACAGGTCCCGGACTGGCACAGCTGCTTGGGCATATGAATATAACACAAGTGGAAATACGTTAAGCCAATTTCAATTATCTGGCCAACAAGCAGCAAGACCACAAAATAGAAGCGCAAACACTTTGCATGCCAAGAATAGATGCCGTCAAAAGGGTCAACGGAGGCGAGCAAAAAATGCATTTTTCGTTCTGCTAAAATTAACACAAATTTCCTTATAAATGAACTGAAAAGCAATACCAAATAGTGGGCCAACAAATGGACGGACAGACAGACAGACCGGTGGACGGGCAGACAAACGGACAGACGGGCGGATAGTTAGTTTTGAATTGTGAAATGCAATTGCACAAAATAACAACAACTAGAGATGGAAGAAGAAGAGAATGGCGTCAGGAGATCAACCTGCACTACGCATGAGATATACTTGCGACCGTAAAATCCAAAACGCAAAAGGAACTATTCAGTTTGTGGAATATTGTATACACTTTGCATA